GGCGACTCTTTGGTCGGGCGACCATTCGGACGTCACGGAGCAGGCGGGACGCGGGAAGACCCATTGCAGGATTTTATTACAAAACGCACAGAAGGACGAGGATGACGGACTAGCAATATTCGTCGCACTGTCTGTAGGGGAAGTGGGCGGAGTTCCCGCACGCTGAGGGGTTGTGAGCGCTGATTGGTAAATCCACAAAGTCCTCCCGGTCGCCCCCCTGTATGGTGCTGAGGTAGACGTCCCACACGGGCCGGGAGCCGTCCTGCTCCGGGGATTTCGGCTTGTTCTGGAGATTCCGCTCCAGGTTCCTCCGCCTCTGTTTGAACTCCAGGATGGTCTTGGTGTATCTGTTGATGGTTGTCACGGAGGCGGCCATACAGCATGTGAATGAGCCCCACGCCAGGCTGCGGGAGGAAGGAGACAATGTTTAGATTTATAATAATGATACTTTGTATTTCCTTATCCCCCTAATGGGCGGAGCTCCAGGCATTGTTAGCTGCTCTGTGGCTTACGGAGCTCAATGTACCCATAAGGGGGAGGGGTCAGAGCAGTGACCCCTCCCCCCTCCCTGATAAGACATCTTTGTCAATAGATTCAATTAGAGAGAGGCAGTCTGAAGGCAGTCAGCTCTTGCTGCGAGCTCTCTTTACATTACCCACAATGCTCTGGGACTCCTTTGTCATGGGTGCTCTGATATAAAACGCGCGCACACGCATAGGAACTTCCTGATCTGTTTACGGTTGTCACGTCCCGTCCTGTGCTATGTGGAGGTTACTAACATGTTTCAGTACCTGCTGCTGTGCTGCCTTCACCCATTGGCTGGCCCCCTCTTCAGCCCCGTTAGTTACATCCCTATAGTAGACCTGTGACCGGGGCCCGCAGAGTCCTCACCTGACCTGTGACCGGGGCCCGCAGAGTCCTCACCTGACCTGTGACCGGGGCCCGCAGAGTCCTCACCTGACCTGTGACCGGGGCCCGCAGAGTCCTCACCTGACCTGTGGCAGAAGATGACCCGCACAGATCCTACACTGAGGCCCACAATGGCAGTTTCGGGGTATCCGGCACCCCTCAGATCTCTCCCCAGGACAAGTGAGCCAATAAACTGCAGGGAAAGGACTTTAGATTCTGGGGCGTGTTCCCATTGGTGGGTTGGCAGCCCCTTGGAGGGTCACATAGAAGCCCCTCATTGGGAATCCTCCGCCGGCTCTCTGCTGATCGGATGGAAATTTCGAGTCGTAACGTCCAAATCACTTCAAAAAGAATTCGATAAAAAAAACACTGAATGACTTTTTCCATCAAACGAATTCTTAGCGCCCTGAATGTCCTGATTCGGCACTTCCATGTGCGGGGGAGGGGCCTATCCTGCGATCTCCGCGCACTCAGCACCGTCCGGCCCGTGATTTGTATGGTGATGAGTGCCGGGAATGGAAGGGGTGATGATATCCCAGCTAGAGGTTTCACCAGTTTATAAAGATGCCCCTCCCCCCTTAGGTCCAGCCAATCAGGAAGGATCGTGTACAGAGTCCCGTACCAGTATGACCAGCCGTAGTCCCAGGTCTGGGGTCTCCAGTCTTCAGGACCCAGATTGACGGTCATCTGGAAGACGGTTGTGTACATCATGTGGGCGACCATCCCGAGCAACCCTGAAATACACCGACACGAAGATAAGCTCCCTATACACTGAGCTTAGGGTGACGGGAGGACGCTAGTTTGTGTCCTCCCGTTACCCTGAGGAGAACTATGGGGGAAAAGCCCTGACCTAGTAGTTGTCCTTTAAATCCTCTCACTTGCACTGGAGTTACTGTTCTAAAATGATTTATTGCCATGGCAACACAGACAGATCTCCCAGACATAGTTACATAGTCAGGTTGAAAAAAGACACATGTCCATCAGGGGCGTCCCGTGGCTG